CTCTCTCCCTCTCTCTCTCTCTCTCTCTTCTCTCTCTCTCCTTCTCTCTCTCTCCTTTCTTCTCTCTCTCTCTCTCCTCTCTCTCTCTCTCTCTCTCTCTCTCTCTCTCTCTCTCTCTCCTACTCTCCTTTCTCTCTTCTTTCTTCTCTTCTTCTCTCTCTCTTCTCTCTCTCTCTCTCTCTCTCTCTCTCTCTCTCTCTCTCTCTCTCTCTCGTCTTCTCCTGGTCTATCTATCTCTCATTCTCTCTTCTCTCTCTCTTCTCTCTCTCTCTCTCTCTCTCTCTCTCTTCTCTCTCTCTCCTCTCTCTCTTCTCTCTCTCTCTCTCTCTCTCTCTCTTTCTTCCCTCCCTCTCTTCATCTCTCTCTCTCTCTCTCTCTCTCTCTCTCTCTCTCTCTCTCTCTCTCTCTCTCTCTCTCTCTCTCTCTCCTCTCTCTCTCTCTCTTCCTCTGTCTCTTCTCTCTCCCTTCTCTCCCTCTCTCCCTTCTCTCCCTTCCTTCTCTCCCCTTCATCTGTTTCCTTCTCTGTCCATATCGTCCATCACCTGAGACTTCTTCATTCATTTTTCTTCTCTCTCAGTTCCTTTAATTTTCTTCTTCTCTCTTCAATTCCTTTAATTTTTCTTCTTCTTTTTTACTCCTTATTTTTCTTCTCCTTCTTCTATTTTCTATTTTTCATTCATTCTTCTTCTTTTTCTTTTCTTTTTCGTCCCCTTCTATTTTTTTTCCTTTTTTATTACTTTAACACCTTCTTCTCTTCTTCTACCTCACCTCTTCTTTTCTTTCTTCTTCTTTTTTCTGTTTGTTCTTCATCTGTACTTTTCTTTTTTCAACTTCTTTTATTGTTTCTTTTTTTTTTTTTTCTCCTTCTTTTTTTTTCTTCTTCTTTTCCTTTCATTGTTTTCTTCTTCGATTACTCCTTTTCTTCTATTCTCGGTCTTTTCTCCTCTCCTCTCTTTTTTTTTTTTTTTTATTCCTCTTCATCTTCCTATTTTTCTTTCTTTATTTTCTTTTGTTATTTCTTCTATTGCTCCTTCTTTTTCTTCTTTCTTCTTCTTTTTAATCTCTTCTCTTCCTTTTCCTTTTCATCCTCGTCCTTTGCTTCCTCTTTCTATCATATCCATTTTGCCTTCCTATGTTATTTCTCTGTTTTATTTCCCCTTCTCTCCTTCGCCTCTACCTTTTAAAAAAAAATAAAAAACAAATAGATATAATATCTTTTGTCCCTTTTTACCCTCCCTTCCCTCCCCCCCTCCAACTTTTTTCCCATAACGCAAAAGACAGTGGACTAGCACTTCTATCTCTCGTATTGTTCATTGTTCCATAAACCTCTTTCGCTCACAGATCAAGCGAAATACCCCTTTCATAACAACCGCTGGGACTGTTCCATCTTTTGCTTCCTTTTCCCTCTCACAGAACACCGTAGCTCCTCCCTTCTCGCTTTAGCCACAGACTCTCTTCCTCTCTCTCCCAAATCTTTCTCGATCTGTGGTATTCTTTCTCCCCCCTTTACAATGCTATTTTTCTATCTTTTCTTTCTCTCTTCTCTCTCTCTTCTCTCTCTCTCTCTCTCTCTCTCTCTCTCTCTCTCTCTCTCTCTCTCTCTCTCTCTCTCTCTCTCTCTCTGCTCCTCTTTCTTTCTGTCTAGGATTATTTTTCCGTTTTGCTTCTTTCTTTTTTTTCTTTTTTTTTTGATGCTTGGACTGATGTTTTGTTGTTGTTTTCGTCTTATTATTTGTATTGTTTCCCTTTCTTCCTTTAGTTTTCTCTCTCTCTCTCTCTCTCTCTCTCTCTCTCTCTCTCTCTCCTCTCTCTCTCTCTCTCTCTCTCTCTCTCTCTCTCTCTCTCTCTCTCTCTCCTTTTTTCTTTAATATTTTTTCTTAACCAGGTCACGCTACAAACTCTCTCTACAAGTCTATATTTTTTATTACCCAAATATAACCATTATAGCAACTTTTTTCTTCTCTCTCTTCTCTCTCTCTCTCTCTCTCTCTCTCTTCTCTCTCTCTCTCTCTCTCTCTCTCTCTCTCTCTCTCTCTCTCTCTCCTCCCTCTCCTCTCTCTCTCTCTCTCTCTCTCTCTCTCTCTCTCTCTCTCTCTCTCTCTCTCTCTCTCTCTTCTCTCCTCTTCTCTCTCTCTCTCCTCTCTCTCTCTCTCTCTCGGACACTCACACACACACAATCTCTGAATCTCTTCTTCCCTCTATCCCCGTCTCCCACATTCACTCTATCTTTTCCTCTATCTGTTTACTCCTGCTCTCTTTCCCGCGCTCTTTGAACTCTTTTTTTTTTTTTCTCTCTCTCTCTCTCCATCCCAAAACACACGTTCACAAGGCGCCTCTGTTTTTTTTTCCTCTTCGCCGCTAGCAAACCAACCTCTTTACCTCTGCTGTACGTGTGTATTCCTCCTCTCTCTTCTCCGCTACTGGACTACGGTAGCGAAGACCGGACGAGGTGAAATCGTCGAAGTCTTCGGTAACTCGTCCGGTGTTCTTAGACGCCCTTCTCGGTGTCGAAATGATGTGGTTGTTATGGTGGTGGGTTGTGGTTCTTCCATGATGGGTTATTTCTCATTTTTGTTGTCTTTTTTTTTTCTCTGTGTATGTATGTCTCTCTGTCTGTCTGTCTGTCTGTCTGTCTGTCTGTCTGTCTGTCTGTCTGTCTCTCTCTCTCTCTCTCTCTCTCTCTCTCTCTCTCTCTCTCTTTCTCTCTTTTCTCTCTCTCTCTCTCTCTCTCTCTCTCTCTCTCTCTCTCTCTCTCTCTCTCCTCTCTCTCTCTCTCTCTCTCTCTCTCTCTCTCTCTCTCTCTCTCTCTCTCTCTTTCTTTCTTTCTATCCCCTCTTCATTTTTTTTCTTTCTATTAACTAGGTCACGCTACAAACTATCTACAAGTCTCTATTCTTTTATCACCCAAAGATAACCATTATAACAACTTATCTTTTCCTTCTTTCTCTCATTCTCTCTTAGCCTGGCTTATTTCGAAAGCCATTTTTCTCTCACGTGATGTCAGAAGTTCAATCGACAAGTTTGTATTTTTTATCACACAAAGGTAACCGTCATGAGATTTCATTTTCATTTTCTTTCTCTCTCTCAACCAGGTCTACTTCAGAAATCATTTCTCTCTCACATCACGCCGCAAGCTCAGTCTCCAAGTCTGCATTTCCTTTATCATGTTACCATTTTAACAACGCGATACATATGTCGACTATAACCATTATAATCAACGTATTATTGTTACTATAGAATTTTTTCTTTCTTTCTTTCTTTCTCTTAAACAGGTCTACTTTGATAACATTTCTCTCTCAGGCTTAGTTTCCAAGTCTGTATTCGTTTTATCTTATTAACATTTTAACAACGCAAATATCGAACACCATAACCACTACAATCAATGCATTATAGTCACCACAGACTCCATTTTCTCTCTGTTTCTCTCTTTCAACCAGGTCTCTCACACGCCATAAGTCTGCACTTCCTTCTATCATACCATACTGTCAACGCATACCATTCTGTCAAATATCGGACACCATAACCACCACAATCAGCGCATTATAGCCACCACCAGACATACTTTTCTCTCTCTTTCTCTCCTTCGACCAGGTCTCTCTCACGTCACGCCATAAGACAAGCAGTTCCTTTTAAAGCACAACAAATATCGGACACCATAACCACTACAATCAGCGCATTATAGTCCCACAGACCTCCATTTTCTCTCTCTTTCTCTCCTTCAACCAGGTCTCTCTCACGTCACGCCATAAGACAAGACTTCCTTTGAAAGTACTACAAATATCGGACACCATAACCACTACAACCAAAGCATTATAATTACCACAGATTCCATTTTCTCTCTCTTTCTCTCTCTCAACCTCAACTCTCTCTCAACTTTCTCTCTCTCTCTCTCTCAACTCTCAAACGCCATGTCTGCACTTCCTTTTATTATACCATTCTGTTAACGCATACCATTCTGTCAAATATCGGACACCATAACCACCACAATCAGCGCATTATAGTCCCCCACAGACTCCATTTTCTCTCTCTTTCTCTCCTTCGACCAGGTCTCTCTCACGTCACGCCATAAGACAGCAGTTCCTTTTAAAGTACTACAAACTAACTACTTACAGTGCTCACAGACTCCATTTTCTCTCTTTCTCTCTCTCAACCTCAACTCTCTCTCAACTTTCTCTCTCTCTCTCTCTCTCTCTCAACTCTCAAACGCCATGTCTGCACTTACCATTCTGTCAAATATCGGACACCATAACCACCACAATCAGCGCATTATAGTCCCCACAGACTCCATTTTCTCTCTCTTTCTCTCTCTCAACCTCAACTCTCTCTCAACTTTCTCTCTCTCTCTCTCTCAACTCTCAAACGCCATGTCTGCACTTCCTTCTGTCATACCATTCTGTCAAATATCGGACACCATAACCACCACAATCAGCGCATTATAGTCCCCCACAGACTCCATTTTCTCTCTCTCTCTCTCTCCCTCGACCAGGTCTACTTCGAAAACCGGACGCTCTTCGCCAACGTGACGTCCAACCGGCCCAGTTTTAACGTGAGTCGACTGGACGCCGGGACGAGCTACCAGATCAAGGTCTACGTCACACACGGCCCCGTTACGTCTCCTCCCGTGGTCGTGTCCGCCTATACGTCGCGCTCATCTAGGACGCCAGGTAATGTGTCTTGTGCTTGTGTTTGTTTGTTTGTCTGTTTGTGGTTTGGTTCGAGGTGAGAATTGCTGGTTTTTCGTTTTTTTTGTGTGTGTGTGTTTTATTTGTATATGTGTGTGTGTTTTTTTTTGTTATTTCGTTTGTTTTGTTTTTGTTTTTGTTTGTTTTCTTCTTCTTCGTCTTCTTCTTCTTCTTCAGGGGCGAAATTCTTGGGGGGGGGGAGGGGGGAGAATGGGGATGGTAGATTCTCCCAAGGGTCGAGGAATGTAATGATTCGTTGAGTAAATTTTAGGCCCAATTCTCGTTCTCTTCTACGAATGCATCGTCAGAAAAAAAAAT